ATAAGATATGATGATATGATATGAGATATGATGAGATGAGATATGATGATATATGATGATATATGAGATATGAAATGATGAGATACGATATGATACAATACGATACAATATGATACAATAAGATATAATACGATACAATACAATAAGATAAGATAAGCTATAACTTTATTGATCCTGCAGGAAATTGTTAACACAATGAAAGGTTTGTTTACTGCTGGGTGAAAGTGTAGAGAGTGAACAGGTTAAATAAGTGAAGGAATGAGTCGGTGTCAGTATGTTTGGTGTGAAAAACAGATCATTTGACTGAAACACATAAAAATTAGGTTCAATGGTTGAATTTCTAGCAGTAAATATGGTATGGTATGGTATAAAGTTTATTCATTAAAAAAAATACAAAACAATTCCATAACAATATAAAAAAATACAAGATATTTAAAATGAAAGGCAGCAGAAAGAAGAAAAAATCTTATTATATCTGCCCCTTTTTTCATCCCAATCATAATAATTTTCAAGTAACATGATCCAAGTCTGTTTTCTTTTTGACAGCCTTTTGTTACCTTTAAACCTAATTTATTTATTACATTTATTTTTGTGTGAAAATGGGTGTTTTAAATTCCCGAGGCTTAAAAAGGAATCAAGTTATTCAACTTTAAACTATTTGATTTTAATCATAAAAAGTTAAAGCAGCTTAGGTTCACAAGCGACCAATTAAAGGTCAACAGAACCATTTTTGAAAGCAAGTTCAAGAAAAACTATTTGATTCCTGCTAGTTGTTCTAGACCTTCACTCAACTTCAGATTCAGACCTTTGAATATGAAGTTTGAAAACTCCTGTTATAATGCATCAGAAGGTTTAAAGTTTACAGACTTGATGATTTCAGCACCCAGTCTTTGATAATCTCATGATGAAATGCCTACCTTGACAAGATGAAGCAACAGTTTCAGTACATGTGCAGCCTTATGATGTGCAGGATGTTTGGAGGGGAAAACAGTGTAGCTTTGTTATCCTGCAGTGTCACATCATAATAGGATCAGATCTATTGAAAACTTCTTGCTTTTGCACCAAATTGATTATGAACAACAAACATTGTTGATCAAAGTATTGCTGATTTACTTAAAATCTTTAAACAGAGAAAAAAATCATGAAACGAGGTGTTTAGCTACTACAAGTAAATTTATAAACCCATGGGAGATGGATAAACTCCACCCCTTTGATGAATAAAAACAGTAAATCTTCCCATTGTATTACTAAAATAATACAGTTCTGGTATTTTTTTGCAATTTTTTTTTAAGCTATCATCCATAAAAATCACTGAATAATCAGGAGACATTTTAACTAACAAAAATTGGAATCTTATATAAAGTCAAGATCAAAATTTTTTGTCAGGTCGCGCTCATTTATTATTACAGAAGAACGTAATGGTTCTTTGTTTTGAAGATATCAACATCCAAAGAAATTAGTTTTTCAGTATTTACCATTGGAATAAACTTTTTAACAAATTACTGTAAGCTTTTAGAAATATATGAATAATCCATTTTGAAAAAAAGTTGCAAGACAACCGATAGGAATAAACCTGAAAGTGTCAATGGTCATAAATGATAAAAAAAAAAATTTAAATCCAAGTTAAAAATATGAGAGATCACACTTTAAAGCATTTTTATGAACATCAATAATACAGTATGTCCCTGGGGAAGACAGTGAACCCCTCATTGCTTCCGATGTGTGTCTCATCGGTGTATGAATGTGATAAAGCACTGATTAGTCTTTGTATAGATCTAGTAGAGTGCTGTATGAATGGGTACATGTGGGGACAGATTGTAGTGTAAAGCACCTTGACTATCTTGATAAGTTAGAAAGGTGCTATATAAGTACAGTCCATTTACTTCATAGACCAAACTTCTGTTGCTTTTTAGTTTTTGTTTTTCAGTTGAAACCACTGCAGACAAAAACTAGGCAGGATTTTGTGTTTGTTGTGTGTATGTTAATTGAAGATTATAATCTACGCAAAATAAGAACTAGATTTAAGGCAACTAGAAGAAAACAGACGGATTGAATGAATGGACGTGTGGACGCGTCTCATTCAACAAGTCCCTGCATCCCTGATAGTGCAAGTCAGGACACCCAGTCAGAAAATTTAAAAAATATTTCCTGGTTCTGTTGCCACACCACATGTAGTTAAGGCATGCTGTTCTTTTTAAAATAAAGTGAAAAAGAAAAGTAGGACCAGGGAGAGTGAGAAACAGATGGCTATAAAGGAATGAAGCTCTGAAGTGTCCACCTGAGGATGAAGAGGACGAGTCCTGGCAGGAAGCGTCAGGGAGTTAGTGGCTGTGATGGCTCAACTTTAAAGAACACCGACGTTCTGTTTCCTCCTGCGTGTGCCCCAGTTTCTGTCTGCCTCTGAGTCACTCTGTCCTCAATATTTTACACTTTCCTAAATGCTTAGACTTTTATTTTTGCATCTTTATCACTCACCACCACGAGAATGCAATTGATGGTGTGTGTTTCTGTTAGCAAAACATCTCATAAACCACTGGGAGGATTTTCATTAATATCTTAAAAAGCAATCACTGAATGTACATTCAGAAATTATTACCTTTTTGGAGTTAATGTGATTTAAGCTGGCTAGCAAAGCTAATCAAACTTAGCAAACACAAAATATGTATAACTCTGTCACATTTACAGCTTAAATGTGGTATATCTGTAGCTGAGCATCATCCTCAACAAATACCCCAAGCGCTAACAGATCACACAGATATTTGTTTAACATTGTTACGATAATAGTTGGCATTAGCCCTATTTGCCTGTGAGTAAAATTTCACATGAACTAGCAAATAGATTTTATTGAAACTCAGAATGTAATCATTGGATGTACATCTATAACTGATCAACGGCTGACCTTAAAAACACACAAATGGCTCTAACAGTAAAGATTGTGGATATAGAGTTAAAGTTTGGGGTTGTAGCTGAGACTGATCTCCATCAAACACTTTTACTAACAGATCATACAAGATTGTTGCAACTTTGGCGGTACACCAGTATACACTAACAAAGTGAAACGACGCTTTGATTGCCACTTAGTTGTGCATGTACAAGTTAAGGAGACGTTGGAAATGAAAATAAGGTAAAAGACAACACCTGTTTACAATTATTTTTTGATTTCTGCAAACTTTTTCAAGATTTCTTTCGTTCTTATTTTTCCTTTCTTTCCTTTCCTCTGAAAAAAAAATCTGCAGAGATCTTCTGCTCTGTAAACTTTAGCAAGATTTGAACAACACAGAGGTAATGAAGGTTCAAACTGGTCTTCCTCTGCTCCACTTACAGTTCTTCTGGGGTTCTTCTGATCACTGAAAATCATTGAATTCCTGCTCATGAATGGCTGCTCTGTGTTTGAGTACAACCTTTCTCAAGCAGCTATTTTTGTGGCTTCCCATTGACCTGTAAAAGTGCTACAAGTCTTTGAAGCTTATCATAAACACAGCAGGATAAGCCAGTGAGAAGAGACCATACAGGTACTGATATAAAGTTTAGTGCAGACTCTGCATGATTGTGCACAGGAGTAAAACTGGGATTTGTCAAGTTGTTTCATGGTAAGGTTGACAGAAATCATTTCCAACAGTCTTCCATGATACAGTAGTTATTGCTGTGAGCAGATTAGATCTTTGTGTTGGTGTGCTCTCTTGTCTACTGGCCTCAGATATGTCAAAGTTGCCGCTGCTACTGAGGAACATAGAACACAATAAAAGAACAGAAAGAAAAAAAATACATTGCAGAGGTTACGTTCCAGACACCCCTGCAATAGGTGAAAATCCGCCAAGTAGGGACGCTATATTTATTTTAGGATTTATATATTGTAAAGCTTTATAAATCCTTCCCACACTTTTGCAATGTTCTTAACACTGTTCTAAACTCTTTAAAAGAGCACAGTGAAAGAGAGCAGACATACTGATGCTACGATTACTGAGTCAATCAGTGCCTGGGGGTGGACTAGCCAACGGGAGCACCGGGACATTTCCTGGTGACCTGGCCTACTCACTGATTTCCAAGGGGGACTAAAGGCTCATTTGGAGTTGTGCTTGATTATTTTAAATAAACAATCCATGCCGCTCACTCTGGTATTTGCCTCACTGAATCTCCCACATCAGCGA